CCCTTCCCCTCGCAGCCCCCTCAACCACCTAACACACATAACCCACCTCAGCCGTAAGGTATTCCAAGATAGCAGCACTATATACTGCCGCCGTGGCACCGACTCGCCCATGGCTGGTTGTTCTGTTTTTCAGATGCCTGTGGATCCTTCCAACTGGGAACTAAAAAAAAAAAAACAAAAAAATCATTTCTTCCTGATCCTTCATCTCCCTAAACAAAAACCTAAAATAATTCTATTAGGATCACAAGATCAGCTGCAAAACGATGAATAATCCATCAATTTCATCTACAAACTGATGTTTTCGTTAAAGCCCTTGAATCATACTATCCATTCCAAAAACATCAATCCGAGGAAGCGTCAGCAGCTTTCAACAATATCGAACCGCCTTGGCCATCCAAGTCCCCGTCTCTCATATTCTTCCCGTTTTAATCACAATTACTGTTGCCTCAAAGCCAACCCCTCATCATGCCCCTGCCCACCCCCCGGTCCCCTAAAAATTTCCAAAACAGCGAGTGTGATGGGCGTTGAAAAAAAATATCGGGAATTTATTTGGAAATGTCGTCGTGGCCGCCGGACTGCGCACGGTATTTCACAAACTCTCGTATCGAACGCCTGGGCTTTGCCGAGAGCTTTGCGAGGTTTATACACGATATTTCATCATTCGACTGGGCTACGCCTATTCTTCATCAACAATTTCCCCTTTATTCATCCCAATTAATTGCCACAATTTAATTAATAATTGTTGCAAAAGCCGAGGGGTTAAGATCGCCCCCAGGGCCTTATCAACTCCAAAAATATATTCCCCACGTTTTCTAAAAAAATTCAATCGCTATCTTATTCCGACTCCCCCTCGAAAAATCATCGAATCATAAAAAGGAAAAAAAAATGTAATGAAAAATTTAATTGCCCAGTGAGTGCCCCCAATTAGGCCCTCGATTGAATTCAAATAGCCACAATGTACCCCCCATAAAAACCACCGAAACAAGGTATATAATAACAAGAATATTGGTGTGGGGGGGGGAGGTAAGGGGCATGTAAACGGTCCGTCCCGATCCCTTGTTTTCAAACACCGTCGGCATTATCCAACCACTGCCACTAAATTGCCTCCAATCTCCAGATATCTGACTAAAAACTCCCCCAAAAATGTTTTCACACTGTAGCAAAACAAAACAACAATACCTCGAACTGTTGAAAATGTCGAAATGCGACGTTAAACGTACGGCAAAACAAAATAACATCGAGCTAACGCTGGGATTATTTTTCGCGCCAACTTCGCTTGACGATTTTTTTGCTCACAAATGGAGAAAAAATGAGGGAAAATAAATATGAAAAAATAGGGAATTTATTCAGGAATTATGAGGGAGACAGTGGTTGATGAAAAAAATTGTGTAAAATATGATAATTTACCTGCAAGCCGGCCCTCGCCGAACGTGATACCGCCTTGGCCTTAGCCTTCCCCGAGTCCTTACCAGTTTTACCGCCAGCCTGTTAATATTCACACACAAAGATTTACGATTAATAGTCACTCGTAACACACCGATTAATTATCGAAGAATTGATGAGGTGATGGCTAATAAACACTCGGATAAACTCACCATTTTACGTTGGAGCTTTGTCGTGTAACGTTTTTCAACTACCTACGGTTGGCTCACAAAACGGTTTGGGGATAAAAAAAAATTATAGGGGAGACGCAGCGCTCACTACTGTTCACTCCAATATACACTACAGCACGAGTAGACGCCGTGTGTCGATGCCACCGAGAGGGAAAGCCCGCCAAATACGCTTGGCGCTAGTGTCGCGTCCCGCCGGTCGGGTCACGTGATTCGAGGCGACGGCCAATCGGAAATTTTCGGCTCTCTCGAGTGCTCTCGCAGCTGGAAAATTAATACTTTTCACCGGGTTTTCGAGATTTTGAGGTTGGAATTTTTTATTTTTAGCGCTCTTGGCGGCTATCAAGTGAGGAAAATTGAGACTTTTTTTTCAGGAGGGGTTTTAGGGAAGAAATTTGGGTAAAGAATTTTTTCGAGAAATTTCGAATGGAGTTAACCGCTCCGCCATCTGGCGTATACTGGTGAAAGGGGGGAAAACGCGAGACGGGGGGCACAAAGTTGGTGCGGAGAGGTTGAAGCGCATGCGTAAATTGTTAGTGCGATTGGTGTGTGGGTGACGAAGAGGTGGAAGTGAAGGAGAGGTGGGGTGCAACGGTCATTCGAATAAGGTAAGATTTTTAGGGATGATTTTATTTTTTCAGGAGGGTTGAGAGGTGTGGGTGGTGCAACAGGTTTCATGGGTGTTTGGGATTCGATTGGAGGTTTTTTTTTTACAAGGGGTTAATGATTTTTAGGGTTTGTGGGGAGACTGGAGAGGGGCGCGAACTGAGAATAAAGAGAATATGCATATTTTTGATTCAAAAGAATTAAATATTGAATTGAAGACTGCTTCGTTGCTTCGTTGAATTGAGATGAACATTATTATTCATAAATATTTCCCCTCTCGTAGTATGCGAAAAAATGTATCGAGGTGGGATGTCTAATGTTATTGTGTCAACTCCGCCAATTTCGATGAATATTGGTTGATTCATCAAATTAACCAATTTCAAGAGTTTTGAATCCCAGTCTAGTTGCATTCTCTTTTTTCACTCCAAAGAGTAACAAGCGAATGCACTCTTCCCCTAACTGAGGAAACTTTTATTTTCCATTGGGATAATTCAATTCTCCTCTACCGAATGTCTTCAAGAATCCAATTACTACTCCCCTGTGAAAGAGATTGTTAACAATTAATTTACTTCAATCGTCAAATTGACTGAAAAATACTGCCAATAATGAACTCATCAAAGACAATCATCTTTGGTTACTCTTTATTAACAGAAATAACTGGTCAATAATAAAAAAATCATCGTATATAAATGAATAGAAATACTTTAGAACTGTAAATGTCAATTGCATCCAATGTGGGGTAAAATTAAAAATCAAATGACATTCTCTAAAAACGGAAAGCCCCAAGATCGCAAGGACTGCATTATTATCAATGTAATCAGGTCGCTGGAAGAGGAAAAAAGAGCTGATAACACATCCAGTTTTCGCTATTACTGATTCTGGGGGTTGCAGTATCGATGAGAGTCGTCCGGGGATGTGCGCGTCCATGATTGCGCGCTCGTTGGGCACCTGGACTTGTTATCTTTCCCGCCAACTTTTTTTCATGCCAAAAACATTTCGATGATATGAAAATTTTCATTACTCATTTTTTTCTGCCTGTGGAGTGACGACATGAATCAATTTCACTTTAAGATCAGTTATCGTTGAAGATCTCCAATTCTGGGGGAGAAAATTTCAATGATGTTGATGAAATACTCGACTCAAAGTTGCGTTGATTCATCTCATTTTACTGACCACTATCAATTTGCCATTACGATCTTGTGAGAATGCTTTAATCTAGATTAGCCCCTGCAATCTCATCACATTTATCGTCCAAATCGCCCTAGAAATAAAAGAAAAAAAAACGGAATAAATAGCTCCCATGCAGTAGACATGGGTACGTTAATAACGTGAAATGATAATATAAAATTAATTTAACTACCTCATCCAATTGAAGACACCTTCCCCACTCGGCGAGGGTAATTTTATGGTCATTATCAGCATCACAACCGTCCAAGAATGGTGCAATGCAGTGCTCCAAGGCCATAAGGGGTGCACGAATGGGAAAGAGTTCGTGACGTGAAATGGCGCGATCGTGTGGATGACCATCAAGATCACACCATTTCCAGATAGCCGCATTAGTCCAGCGTAGAGTCAAATTCGTCTCGGCCTCGCGTTGCATTTTTAGGTAGTGGGACGGTAGCTCCTGACGATCGGCTAGATCGCGCATTATGTTGAAGAGCCAGTCCCGCATGCGCCTGGGGAAATCGAGCATATCCTCCTCTTTGCACATCTGTTGAGGGCATACAGGGGAAATTTTATTGATTTGGATTTCATGTATTTCATCAAGTTGTTGCAAAAAATATCAGAATATACTCTCCGTAGAGAAGAAAATTCCCTTAAAAAAAAAACAAATTGTTTTATGACATTTTCTCCTCAAACAAAAATAAAAAAAGACGAATTAGTTTTTACCGGCATTTGACGACATCCTCCATAATACTCAATATGCACATGCTGATACTCTGGCCCGCGGCACCTAGCGTCATTAGTATCGCAGAAACATCGGGCCTGATAAACCTCGCAGTCACTGCCAAAGGTCTCATTGTAATTTGTGCAGACCTTGCGCCTGGGGTCGATCTCCTCATCGCACGAGTCCACACAGACACACTCGGCTGTACCCATTTCAGTCGACTGTAATCGATCCTCCAGTTAATTCTCGATTAATTCAGGGCTGTGGATTTTTTTATTCTAACGAACCTTGCAAACTCTCCCAGCGCCGCAGTGCTTGTCCATGCATGGGTCAACTAGCATTGGCTGCTTCTTTTTCTCCACTGACTCGGCACTTCCGCTCTCCGCGGCCTCGTCCGCCTCCAGCATGTTCATCACTTCCTGCTGGAATGGAGATTCCGTTGTCGTTGTTCGGCGACGACTCTTTCTCCTTCTCTGATTATTATTCATTATTTGAAATTAATTTTACGATTAATGGATTCTTAAAGAATGGCTTTTTGCATCAGTGGAAATTACTTACTTCTGCTGATACATCGGTGATTAGTGCTCCAACGAGCACAATAATCACCATCAATTGCAGCTTCGTTCCCATCTTGGATATCTCCTGAAAAAAGATTAAAACAATTTATTCCATTTAGGAATGTCTGATGCAATTCCATAGAGCGCTGCTGAAATATAAAGCAGAACCGGGATATTCAATCGATCACTCGGATGGAAATGCAAACCCCGTTTCAATCCATTTTGTATGATATTGCCACCAGGGTGTTGGAATTTCCGTTGCCGCAGAAACCCACAGTAGGCTTCATCTTGTTTTCCTTCCTGGAATTAGTGAACCCATTCATCTTCATTCAAATGATACAGCCCCATCTGTTCTGTATTAACGATTGCTCTCAATTGAGTTACGCAAGTTCTTCTAATTCGATGACCCATTTCATTCATTATATTGTCATTATGTCCTTCACATATCCAATAGATGGGGAAAGTCTTCTATAATGAGAAGAAGAGATCGAGAAGAAATTCCAAACGAGTTTAACGACATGATTTATTTCATCGCTAGAATCAGATGAAATGATCTCTGAAATTATTTCATCCTATTTTCATCAATTGTTTATTGGATGAAATATAAGTGTACGTGGGCTTGATTCGGCGTATGAATATAATCCACCCACGTTTGAAGCCGCGTAACCGTTCAGAAGCCCCCAACGCAAGTCCAAACCCAAGACCGTAGAGCGTTTGTCGAACGCTCAATATCGCGCATCAACACTATTTACAAAACGGGTCCGTCAACGATTTTATCATTCGCCAGATTCATTCATCGAAACTGATACTGGAAACTAGCGCAATATCTCCAATTTATATTTTATCGCTGGCACTGCTTTTCTCGTTTAAAGCGATGACATACTTCCCTACAGAATTGATTCTACAATTTTCGTTTGGGTTTAAATTGCGCCCTCAATTCAACGAGACTGGGGCATTGTGAAAATTGATATTAAACCATCTGCAATCAATTTTCTGGGGTGGACAAAATTCTAAAGCTTGACAAAATCTTTCGTTGGATGTTTGTGGCAATTTTTGGGATGAAATATTTTTCATTACTAGTTTTATTCAATTTTAATTAATCCCCGAGGGTATTGAAATATATCTCTTACAATGAAACTTACAAATTATTGAATTCTCGAAACTAATGTTTTCAGAGATTCTCTACTTTTAAGTGTGATAGTTTTGTAATAGTTATTAATTAGTATTTAACGCAATGGAGAACGACAGAATAAGTCACGTCTACAATTTAGTCAAAGGGAGGGGTCTGTCTCTCTCCCTTCGGGGAAATGCAGCATAAAACTGCCCTCGATTCATTATGCATATGCACTCAGATAAGAGAAAAATTATATTCCAATTCTGGAACAGAGATAGGCTGAAAAAAATATTTTTATAACAATCCAATTCCTTGTTAGGAAATTCTTCAATGAAATAAAACTATTGGATAGTTGATTAGAAATAATCGTAAAACTTCTCATCATTTCGATAAATGAAACGCATAAAAGCCAACGAATTCTATTGGCATATAATTTATTTCTATGCAAAGGTTTCGTTTTATAATAAAAAAATATTTACTCACGTTTCCTTTAGTGCTGATTGTTATTGTCTTATGCACGAAGAGGGAAAAATGGTTGTTAAACGTCCGGTAGATCGATGCTGACTGCGTACTCGATTTAGCCCTCAAAGTCTGCACCACAGCATCCAATCCAAGTGATCTCATCGCTGCCTACGCTACCCCATTCTGATCTTTCCGCCACATGCGTTATACTATCGCCTTCGACATTTTTCTTCTCATTCCTCCTATTCCCCTTCGTCGTTTCTCTGTTATGTGTTTCAATTTCAACTCTCGAATTAACGTAGCAAATTTCCGGAGAATCGTTCAGTCTTTCTCTGAATTTCATCGTCCTAATTCTGAAAATACCCTTTTTATGCGTTTGTGCATATATGAATATAATATTAACAACATTAGGGAATGTAGAAAAAAAAATAGAACGCGAATAATTCCTAGAATATTACGAATGAATTGTTACGAGTAAATGAAGGAAATCACCTCTTTTGGTAGTAAGACAGGTATATTATACTAAATGCAAAAAGTTACAATACATTTGACGTTTTGTTGTTATTTGTAATCTTCTCATTCACTCGTATTTTATCTTCGTTATGGCTCAACACATCTGTTGTTTTCCGTAAATTTAACAGTGTCCACCAGAACGAAATTTATTAACGAAAAAAATGTTGAAACAGGTCAAAATAAAAATATGTCGTATATTCTACAAAAATTCACAACTTAAATTTATCACCATCGTAATGCTCCTCTATTAGTCGTTACAATTAACTGTCTTGTGGTTTTTTTTTTCAGTTTTTTTTACTTTTCCATTTTTTTGTGGTTTTCAGTTTTACTCTCTTCCCATTATGAAATTATTACTCTAAGTAAAAAGAAAACAATCGAAATTTTTTGTTTTTTCCTCTTGTTTTTTCAAATGAAAAGACAGAACAAAAAATTAACAGTCCCGAGAGCTTACAAGTCCTCACTTCTTATTATTTACTTCAATCAGAGGAATCACTTGGTATTTAAGTCAAAAACAAAAGATTGAGATCCTTTAATTCGATTTAATCTCAATCACAATTTCTTCAACTTTGATTTTGTGTTAAAATCCAGGGACTTTAATAATTAATTTATTATTGTTTCATTGTGAGCCTCTTTCGATGCATCTGTCTCCCTCATTTACCTAAATTCTCTATTTTACAGTGAATTTTACTGATTCTGCGTTGATTATTTATTTGTTTATGATGAATACCGGGGATCTGGAGCTTCGAAAGAGATACACAATCACTTCTTCTCATCTCAATTTGCATTTTATTTTTTAGTATCATAAAATGATAGGCCAGGAAAATGGTATTCTGCATCGATAGTCCCCCACAATCGCAATATATTGGGTAGAAAATCATTCACACGTTATTTTATTATCAATACGAAAGTGGAAATGAGTGAAAGTTAAAGGGAAAATTCATGTTTAGAACAATTCACGATTTTGTTTTTAGTAAAAATTGAACGTTTTCTCCATGATATTTAACTAATGATTGACTCTATGATTGAATTTATCTATTTATCACTCCATACTTGACATGATTGAATCAAAACTGACTGAAAACATCTCCAAATTGTCGAGGAATTTTAATCATCAGTTTTATTATCGTCTTGCCGTCATCAGATATTCTTTATTATTTTTCTTTATTAATTTTCCATCAATTTATTACTCTGCAGCTACGTATTATCACAGTTATGAGAATAAGCAAGAGTCATGCAATTTCCTGTGTCAATTTGAAGATATATATTTCGCTAGTTTTTTTTCTTTTGGGTGAAAGTGGAGTGAAATGAAACTTCAATTGTCACTACCTCTTGACCAAGTGGTACTATTTAAATGGATTAAGTTTCATTTAGAACCTTAAAAAAATCGTTCAATTCCACTCTGCCGATCTTGAGTTATTGGCGATTAAAAACTCTCCATTTCGCATCCTCCTCTCCCCTATTTTATTTTTCTCTCTGTTGATCTAATAATCTGACATTTTTTCAATGATTTTTCATTCATATTTCTCTATTAAATGTTGGAGTAGAATAGGCACACCGGTTACGCATTAAAATGTTTCGATAATGGAGAATAACAACGCTCAATTCACTGTGTGCACATGTCATATTATGATTTTCATACATTATAATATTCATCTAAACTTTTTCACATAAAAAAAAATCCTTCATCATCAACTCGTCGTGTCGTGTTATTTCTAGAAATTCTACATTAATTTATTAATGTCTAGTATTTTGTAAATTCTAGGTCTACGTTTCAATAATAAAAATAAACATAAGAATTAATTTATTAGTAAACAGGTAATGAGACAGAGGAGGAATTAAAAGCACATGGATAATAATATTTTCAACATTATTCCAACTGTTTGATTTCTCCTCGATTTTTACGACTAGTCGATGATGTCAACATTTTTTTTTTCTTATGCTTTAAATTTAAAAGAATTACTTTTAGTATTGGGATTTCGTTGCGACTGTGAGGGGTATTTTTGTTGAATTTTTTAGATTTGTTTAAACGATATTTTAATTCGCAATTATTTCACGATACTGATTTCATGATGATATAGCAAGTATTTTTCATGTTTCATTTTTGATAATTTCATTGAGGAAATTGGAAGGCTAGAGATCCGATAAACCCTTTCGTAAAAATGTAGAATTTTGAGTTGAAAGAAGGGGAGAAATGGCGAGACCAGCTGCTGTGTCTAGGGTTTATGTTTCTATTTTTTTTTTTTTTTTTTTTTTT